CCATTGGCCCGTTCAAGCGGCGCGGCCCGCCCCCTGAGGAGGGCGCGGCGGGTAATTCAAACGGCCGCAGCGCGGCCTATAAAGCGGCGGCGGCCATGACAGCGCGGGGCCCGCCGCGCCTGCCGCCCAGCCGCCGCTCCGAGCCGGCCTTCCGAGGTAAGGGCCGCGGGAGGGGCCCCCCCGAGCGGACGCTGCTGCCGCAGCCGCCCCGGCGGCGCGTTCCTGGCAGGGGGCGGCGGGTGGTGGGCGCTGCCTTGCGGGAAGGTCGCCCGGAGCGTCGCGCTGAGGGGACTTTAGGGTTTCTCCCTACGGTTAGTTTGCACCCAAACCAAGCTGCGAGTTTATGAAAGGATCTAGAGCTGAATTCCGGCATAAATCCTGAGCGCTTTGGTCTTGGTGCTCATTTGCCTGCGGTGGGTGAGGGTGTCCCCACTCTGGGCCATTGCACTGCCCTGCCAGGCTAAGAGCCTGTCTCACCACCCAGGCTGGTGTCCCCTCGCCCTGTGGTGACCCTCACAGGTGCTGGGGCTGGATCTTGTCCCTCTGTGTGTATGGTAGGGAATGAAAAAGGCAGCCTTTTATTTTCAAGGAGATGCATCTGATGGATGCCCTGTAGCCTTCTGCTTTGCAAAGCCCCTGCTGAAACTGTAAGTCACCCTGAATGGCCAGTAGTTTTGCCCCTTAGGACACCTGGGCTCTTAATGCTGGCACAGCTGAGGTGAGTGGCACCCATTGCTGCACTTGTGCTGTCACTGACCCCCTTGCTGGATCATCCAACTGCATTGGACACATAAGCAAAGTCTTTATCTTCTTTTAAGCACCCGCTGCTTTTTGTTATTTGTATAATAACAAAATAATGGCTCTTGAAAAAGACCATAGACTTTGATTAATCAGGATAGAAGTACTTCTAAATAGCAGCCTCTATATAAACTGGTTGATGCTTGTGAACTATACTGAATCTCAATACAAGCTAATACTGAAACTAATAAGCTAAAACTCAGCTAATACAAACACTCAGGCACCAACATCCTCTCTCACTGTTTAAAGCTCATCCAGGAGCAGAATGCTGGTTGTAGCAAACTTGGTGAATGTTGACAGAAACCTGACATGGGTTCCTTTGCAGAACTTTAACTCTGCAAGCCACTTCACTGTTCTTCACTGGGAAACCAGGTCTCCCCCAAACCTACAATGAAACAAGCTCTACTTCTCAAATTTACCTGAATTTAAGCACATTTTTCATGAGCTCTGATCAATTGTTCTCTGACTTGTTTGGGTATTCCTCTTTGTCGTTGTCACTTAGCACAAGTAGCCAGCAAATTAGTCATGTACCTAGCTCTTCAGCAGCAGAATTGGTCCAGCTTCATAAATCATCATTGCTACAGTAAGCCCAAGTCTCAATCTACTCCCAGCTTAGTGATTCAGGCTTTGGTATGGCAGTGCATGAGAAAATTTACCCCTTTGGCTTCTCCTAAGCTGGAAGGAGGCCTTAAGGATACCTGCAACATTCTGTAGGACAAAAAGAAGACTATGGAACCACACAGTGAAGTGCCTTTTCTTCCCTCTTTCTTTAAAAGACTGACTTGTGTGACACTTTTGCAATTTCCAGTGTCTAAATTCCAGTAATACAGAGTATCTTAGTCTTGAGTGATTTTGTCCCCTCCGACCTTAATGATTCTCTCATTCTTAAGTGTGCATCAAGAGTGGGAGCACAGCAAGCAGAGAGGCTTGGGAGGGGCTGCTTGAGGAGGTTCAGCTTGAACTGTTAATTCCCTGAAGAAAACTTCCAGGGCTAAATGAGCCTGCTCATGGTGGAGGATGGTGCAAAGCTACAAGTTCCTGAATGCAGTGAAGAAAGCGGTGCTCAGAGAGGCTCCTGCTAATGTTCTGCCCTGCCATCCCCCTGCATGTGGAAGACTGGAAGTCCTCGCTGCCAGGACTGGCTGTGTGGCTGCTTCAGTCCTCTGCTTTGAGGACTGTCCCCTCCCAGCTGCTGCCTGCATCTCACATCACCAGCTCCCGGCAGGTGATCAGCAATGATAGTCTGACAGTCACTACTGTGCAGTAAAACAGTGGAGAAAAAGGGAAGCAGTGTCCTTTTCTGGAATGAATTTCTGTGTTGAAGCAAAGACAGCAGGTTTAAGAGCCCTTTCAGGACCATCCTGCACTGTTCACCCTTCTGCTGTTGGTCCAGCATTTGTGCAGATGCCCGGGTGACAACGTAGTGATTTCACAGATGGTCTTCTGGGTTGGTTTGTTGTTTCCCATCTGTGCAATGCTTGCCTGACAGCTGTGACACATGGAAAGTGCTTGCTGAACCAGCTGTGTGTGTGAGCCATTAGAGAGACATCAATATCAGGTGGAAAAGCCTAACTTCTTCCCCTTGCAAATCAGGTATTCTTTTAGATTGCTAGTTAGCATAGCCAGACATCTGTTGTGTACAGATTTGGGGTAATTTCACTGTGAAGTTTGCATATAGCCTCTCTTAAGTGGAAAAATGTATGTGATGTTGTAAGGTGTGAATGATAAAGTGAAGACTTTCCTAACCAGCCAGAGTTTAAGCCTTAGTACTTTCCTATACACACTCTTGTTTTAAGAGATAGTTTGCTCTGAACTAATAACTGAGGTGAGAATGAAGACAAATTAATATGATGTTTTTAATCCCCTAGAGCAAAGAAGACAAAAAGTTGAAGAATATCTGTCAAGAAAAAAGGCCTTTTCTGGTGTGTGCATTCAAGAAAACAAGGCATCTTTCAGGTAATATCCTGCTTTCTGCTATGGATCATATTCCCTTAGGAAATTTCAGGGCTGCTGCTTGCCTTTAACTTACATTCTACTAATAAATGATTTCTCCAGTTCCTATGCAGGCTGTGCTGTCTGTGTTCATTCTATTTTACTCTATATTCTACTTAGTAGTTACTAACCCTGCCATTAGTACTGATACCAGGGGTCTACCTTCTGTTAAAAATAAACGTACTGTAATTGACCCAGCCTGTGCAATGGGTAAGCAGGTAGTAACAATAATTTGTTAGCACAGTATGGGCTATCTCGCACCAGTCAGTTGTACTTGCTATTTTTTCTACTGTTGTAATTAAATCTCTTTATTGGCTAAAATCTGGCAAAGCATCTTATGTAAGACTTCTATGTAAGCAACTGAAGCTTCCTTGAGATACAGTGGTGTGAACCATCCCAGAGGGTTCTAGCTATAATGTTAGTTCCTAGTCTGGTGCAGCTTTGTCACATTTAATCTGCAAATGGTGAATTGCAGTGTGACGTTTGTGTTCGTCCATTTGGAGTCTTGTTTATCACTTCACATATTTGAAGTGTCGTGGTTCCCTGTTCAACAGTGGATGGAACTACTTAATGCTGCAATCTGCCTGGGCAATAACTTTGGAATATAAAATATGCCTAGATGCCAAGGATAAATATCCTTTGACACACTCTTAGGCAGTTGTTTTCGTGTTGTAGAAGGCTATTTTGTACTAGAAAATCAGTGCAAACTGCATGCACTGTAGCAATAACCATTTTAACTTAGTGTCAGATCTACTTTATCTCTTCCCTGCTTTCATTCAGTTCCTTTCCTGGCTATCCAATTCCTGGGCTATTTGTAGCTTTCAGTTAGTTTGCTGTTAAATGACATCATGTTTGTGGTTATGACTAATGCTTCTGTTTTGCAGATATTTAGTTTTCTGGATATTCTGTTACTGGCCTATACTGTGGGCTGGCCTTAACACTGTTATTTTTGTTGAGTTCCCTTAACTGATCCTCTGCAACACAGGTGAAAACAAAGTAATAACACAATACAGAAAGCTTTCTCCAGCATTCAGAAATAACTGAATACATTTACCTTCCTTTTCAATGTAGTTCATTTCCAGAACATAATCTGATGCAAAGACATCAGCTGATAATCAGAATATTAACTTTAAGCTGTAGGTGGCTTGTGCTACTTGTTCTATATATTGTATCATGAAGTATTTGAGGAAGAAATTGAGTTTAACTGGGAACTGAAATGCTCTTTTGAATTGTCATTAGATTTTCATAGCTTCTGGCCGTGGTGGGTTAGGTACTTGCTGTAGAGTGGGATCATGACAGCTCTGGCGCCCTGTTGCAGATTTTGGAAGAAGCTTAGTGTCATGGGAACTATGCATTTCTGCACAGATCCATCTCAAAGGCCTGGCCTTATTACTGCAATAGTCTGTTGTATTGCACGTCTTGCATGCAGCATTTTGTTGTTTCTTCCCCCTCCTCCTTCCAAACATGCAGTATGTGCAGAAGGTGACCTCTATAGTAGATGTGTCAGACAAGACAGGTTGTTCCCCCTTAAATACGAGTGATGGCTGCAGTGAATGTGGTCTGTCCCATTCTCTCCCCTCCCAGCTACTCAGCTCTTTATGGTGCAGGATGAGATGCTCTGCAGCCTCAGCCATAATTGCTACTTGATTAGCAATCTATCTTTTCTGGGGCAAGAATACAAGCTGAATAGAAATGCTTCAGTGTGAGTCTGTAGACTGACACCTGGAGCATGTAAACTTGCTCTTAAAAATGTTATTTTGTAAGATGTAATTTGTTGCTTTTCTTCTTTCTTTCAAAGCAGTAACAGAACTGGGAAAGTAACTAGCAGCAAACTGCAAGACAAAATACAGACCTTAAAATCTGCAAGGTCAAAAATGGTAAGTCTTTTCTTAGACTAATACTCAAATACGGATGGCACTCGTTTTTGGGGCTACGATGTTCCATGCAATCACATTTAGTGCACTGTCATATTATTGTATGCAGTGCATCATACTGAGGCTTGGTTTGTACCTGACTGGAGAGGGGATTAAGAATTATTGTGCCAATAAAACTGGTTCAGTTTTCACACCATGGGATTTTTGGAGCTGCTTGGATAGTCTTCAGGATGTTTTTTAAAATCTAAGCAATGTCTTTTGCTCTCAGAATTACCATTGTTCTAGGTTGATTTCTCCTCTGCTCCCCCTCTTAAACCTCCAAAAGATGCCAACTCATGAACAATGCTGGCAAACTTTGTGCTCAGAAGCCAATGCTGAACACTTAATCAGAGTTTAAAGTAATGCTTCTGGTGTATCACTTGGTCCAACTTTTCCAGAATTAAGATATATACATATCTTTTGTTAGAGATAGCAAAATATATATTCTCTAAATCATAACAAGGGCAGGGAAGCACTAAAAACAACTTTCTTTTATGTTAGATGGTCTTGAGTTGACCTTGATCTGTGTTAATTTCTCACGTCCTTTTAAAACTGAATGGACAAATCAGGTACATTCTTTAATTAGCAGTCCATGTACCCAAGAACTAGTTATGGACCTGATTAAACCTAAAATGAATTGTGAATGGCAGCTCAGGAAATAAGGTGTAGTACAGTTTTCCAACAATTCAAGAATATCTTCCTTACAGGAAAGTATGTTGTGGTTTAGTTGAGTTTTGAGCCAAATCCTAAACAGTAACTTCAAAAGTTGATAATATTCTCTGCAGCAGTAAGTTCCTAGCCCACATGAGCAACAAACTCCAGTTTCTGCAGCCTTCCATGCTGTTCTGGTATTTTTCCTGCCTTTCCATAGGCTGTTGCTTGAACAGTGCTGCATTAGTTGCTGTAGAACATCTTTTGAAGGAAAAGACTAGATCCTGCTTTTCATGACCTCTCAGCTAGGATTATCCTGAGTATGCGCAGTTAAGATTTGTGAGGAGTATTACAGGAGAATGGAAGAGATACTATTCAAATGTCTTTTTTATCTATTTGCTGCTCTTTGTCTATTTTATTGCTCGTTAGTAAGAAGATTTCTCTCTTCTGCTAACATATGCTAATGCTTTTCTCAAGGGCTTTATTTGTTGCCTTGTGTTAAGAGGGAAAGGGCACAGTGATGGGTTATTGGAAGTGAGCTATTGCTTCTGATTCTACGCAGCCTAAAGGAAATATGTATTTGTGACCACTGTTTTTTTTGAAGGCAGTGTTGGCAGGTGAGTACTGATAATTGCTTTGAGTTTAGTTTCTGTAAGAGTTTAACCCTTACATCCCCAAGAGCATAGTTCAGATAATTCATACTTGATTCTTGATTCTTGGATGTCAATTCTGCAGTAACAGGTGACTTTCTGTGAATGTGTGAAAGGTCCCTTTCAGAAATGAGTAACATGCAGCATGAATGTATGTCTAACACTTCCATGGTATGCCTTTTATTTCAGGAAGATGCAGAGAATACTGATAAACTTTCACTGGATCAATCAAGCAGAACCTTAGGAGAAAATGTTCCTATAAAATCTTCTACAATCACTCTGGCAAATTCCGCAGTGGGGACAAACTGTAATCCTGATCTTACTTCCAAGGATGAAGTCACTGAAATAAAATCCCAACATGGGTCACTTAGCCAGTCCTTCTTGCATGTCAGAAGTATAAAAGAGAAGCAACTGATTGCAGAAAAGCAAAATTCAAACATCAGCCTACCAAAGAAACCCACGCTTGGTACATATCGTGGCAAAGTTATTCAGTCAAAAATAAATTCCTTCCGAAAGGCACCAAAAAGTGAGGGAGGGGAGAGGTCCTTGACGGATAAGAAGCCTCTTGTTTCTGCCACTAAGCCATCTGTAAGATCTTTCTCCACAAGCAATTGCAGTGTAGTTATGAAGACCATCAAAGTCACAAACTCCTCTGCTGCTGTAAAATCAAAAGGCGTCCTCCCATTCCAGAATAAATCAGCCATCAAAGCTATTGGCTCACAGTCCAGTCTGAATAAACAACAATCAAAATCTGCTGTCTCGCTAACAAAAGTAACAGTCCAAAAGATGGTTGGGAGAAGAGGCTCAGTGCCACAGAGGGCTGTGTTGGGCAACACTGACCACAAAATATCTGTGGTGAAGAAAGATGGAGATGCAAGACCAGAAGCTACAGGAAAAACAAGTTCTGTTGCTCCTGTTACCAAGTCAGGACAGGATTCTAGAGCTATTGGCAACAGAAAATCTCTTCTGCCAAAAGAGTCAGCAGAAGAGAGAAGGTAACAGAATTAGTCTCTTGTAGCTTGATGTAGCTGAATTGATCTATCTGTTCCTGCAAATGCATTGAAAACTGAGAACTCTGTGTTTAAATTGAACTTCATGCTGACCAAAGCTGACCAAAAGTAAAACTGCAGTCTTAATACTGAAAAAGGGGGATTTGGACCAAATGTTCTTTGACTTACAACTTGTTCTGTGCAAATGTTAATGGAAAACTCATTCATATGTTTCCAGTTTGAGGCAAGTGTTGTGACAGTATTAAGTATGATGCAGATACTCGTGTAAATGAATTGTGCATGTACACCAGTGCTTTAAAACCACTCATGCAAAATGCATGTAGAAGTGACCACATCCATAGGCTGAGGGAGAGCATTTGTCAGTGAAGTATTTTTCAGCTTTGAATGCAGTCTAGGTAATGGGGCAAAGCTGAGTGATCTCCAAGTTGTAGGAAACTTGGTGCTCTTTGGAAAGAGGGAAATTCAATGGATGTGAAAACAATTACACTTAGACAGTATCGATTGCAGATTAAAATGCTGTGATAGCATCCACAGTTGCTCAGTCTTCGCCTTTAGAAACAATCTTCCTCCAGAGCTCTGAATTTTCCTTGGCTCTGAGGTGGATCATAGTGGTCATGGAAGAGAGGTGCCAACAGATCAGAAACACATTTTTACCCTCTCTAGAAAAAGGGAATTTGTAGTCTTGGCCTTGCTGCTTCTGGGAAAGGAGAGTTTAAAGTATTCCAGCTTGGCTGATAGGTAGGAACTGGAGGTGTTAGTTGTGGTTCTGAGGTTTCTGCACAAATGTGTGTGGAAGCTGTATGCCCCTTGGGTTAGAGGGAAAGGACTGGAGGGCTCTCTGTGGTTACTTGCCTTGTCAGGAAGTGTCTTTCTGTGACTTGCCCTAAGTAGTGTCAATCACTGTAGAAATAATAATGCTTGATTGGGGTTAATGTTCTTAAATGCAGAGTTCGCCTGGCTGAATGGAGGGCATCCAAAGGGAGAGTGATGAAGAGGCCACCTCCATCCATGTCCCTGGGAACCCACTCTAAAAGTGAATCACAGGAGTTCCCTGCTACTGAAGGTTCTTCAGAGCATTTGTTACATGATGAAAAAGTCAAGAAGGCCCTCTCAGAATGTCTGCAGTTAATGGAACAGGTATCAAATCTCTTCCCTGCCAAGTAAAAATGTCATCATATAGATGCCTAGGCCATGGAAGTGCTGTAGATAGGCTGGAACAGTGACACAATACAGGGCCTAACTACACCCCCAATAAAGTAATATCATAGATCTTTTTTTTAGGGGGGGTGGAGATGGACAAGTGTATCTTCTTACTTCTTGGGACCTCTGAAAGCCTGTTTGCAGTAGTTCTGCATGTGTGCTATGGACTCTGCTACCCATTCTGTTTATAGTATTGTTGGAGTAGCTCTTATTTGGCAAAACAGGTGAATGAAAAGCCTCCTGTTAAAGTGAATGTAGCATAGTTCACTCTAGTAAATACTATCTTTAACTTTCATAGTCACCATTCTTCCCCCTGTCCCCCCCCCATCCTCCAAAAAAAAAAAAAAAAAGCTTCCTTAGCTTATTTTTAAGGTCAAAGTCACCTAAAACACAGTGCTTCAGAACATTCACTTCAGCTAAGTCTCTCCTCTCCTGTACACCCTAGGGATGTCAAAGGGATGAAGTACATGCCATGCTGGAAGACCTGATCAAGAATATTCCTGAGGCTAAAAAGCTTGCAAAATACTGGATCTGCTGCATGCATCTTGAACAGATGGGCCCTATTGAAAAGCTCATTGAGGTCTATGAGGAAGCCATTTTGGCAGGAGCAATGGTAAGATGCCTGCTTGTAAGACAAGTGAATTTAAAGGCATGAAAAGTATAGCCTCTAAAGCTGCTATTTAAGAGTATTTTTAAGTAATAGGATAATCTATGCTACTTACAACAAATTCCAGTTTTTGCTTAACCTCTACAGTCTTTTTTTTTTGAGGAGAAAGGTTTAAGATGCATTCAATTAGATGCTCTGCCAAACAGAAAGTGAGGACTGAAACTTCTAAATAACTACCCCCTCCAAAAAAAAAATTCTACATTTTCTGGTGGATTGAATTCCTGTGCTTTAATATCAGCAAGATTTTAGCGCATCAGACATAGCTTTGCCCTTCAGTAGGATTCACTTAAGTCTTTGGATTTATATTCCAACAACAATGAAGCGGTTTTAACGTGAATATTATGTAGTCTGTACCACTTTTCATGTAACTGCTGTATCAAAAAGCTGAAATGTTTAATTTTGAAATTGTTTCTCTATAACAGTAACAAACTTTCTTTCAGCCAAAAGATGAACTACGGTGCTCACTAATAGATATTATGAAAAATACTGAAAACTTATTGAAGTCTGAGGATGGTAAGTTTAAGTACTTTGACTTGACAGGCAATAAACTGTTCAGATTATTTGTGCTTATATAAGATTTTATTTTATGAAAACTTTTCACTGTGATTGTATTCTCAGTTGCTCAAAACTAATATTGATAAATGAATACTTTTCAATTGTAGAAATGCAAAAATGGGTAGTACCTGATGGAGGACATGGTTTCATGTTAAGATTTTTTACTTAAGCTCTATGAGATGAATGTTAATCAGCTGCTTCAGCCTGAGAATCAAACCTAAACCAAACCGTTCTTGTGAGCTAAAAATCAGTTGCCTCTGACACTTAAGATACCTCAATATTAAAAGTGGTTTTGGAAACAAAGTGGCCACCTATCTGTTCAGTGTAGCGTATCTTATAATGAAAGCAAAATCTTTGGCAAAATCTTTCAGAGATCTCCCTAAGAAGATTTAAATATTTAGTGAGTCCTTTTGTCACATGGTGATCAACTGCTCTTTAGTTGCACTAATACACCTGTACTTCCCATATTTTAATTTTAGGGGAAGCTGTGATAGAACCTCATTTAAGGGAGGTAGCAGAAGTCAGCAAGGAAGCCAGTTCATCTGCAGAGCAAGTTGAGGAGGACTTAAAGGATCTCAAATCAAAAGAGGACCAGAAAGCAGGGAGCGATAAGAAGGCAGAGACTAGAAATGAAGTGATCAAAAATGAAGAAATGGATTTAGACTTGAAAACAAGAGACGGGATGTTGCCCAAAAAGAACAAAAAGCACAAAACAAAAGATCGTACAAAGAAGTCTGGAAAATGGGAAGCAGAAGAGCAGAGTGAAGTCAGGGTAAAAGATGGGACCCGAGCACTTAATTCTCCTGGCAAGGAGAATGATGCATCTTATTTAATGAAGTGCAATCTACCAACAACTCCAAACTTGGAAAGGTAAGGTTATTTGAGATTGCTGTGGAAATCTTGCAGTATCTGGGTTTCAAAAGCTTAGACTTTTTCCTGCTTTTTTTTGCCTTTCAGAAGTGTATTTTTTTTTTTAACCAGAGCTAGCTTTGACAATGGATACCTTTAATTCAAATGGACTGTTTTGTTTGATGAATTCCTGCCTACCGAGCAACTGAATGCCTATAGTAAAGGCATGAATTCAGGATCCCCTTTTCTGAAGCCCATGTGGTAATAGCATTTCCACCCTGGCCTGGGTAAAGAGAAAATAGGAAATAACTGAGGAAAGTCCTTCTTAAACATAATGTGGTTGCTGTCATAAACTAGAAGGAAAGTGAACAAGATATAATTATACTCTTGAATTTAAGCTTGATTGTATCTTGAGGCAAAAATCTAGATGGTAATCCAGGAAAAATAACACCTACATTCTTTACTGCCACAGTGCAATTGAATCTTGTGCACCAAATTGAAGTATTTTGCCTGGGGAAGAGCTGTACAAAAAAATCAGTGGTTTTCTAGTTTTAAATATGAAGGGGAAGGACCTGTTTGTTTCCTCTTGCTATGGAAATGTGCAAGTCATAACTCAGGGTTAACTAAGGTTATAACTGAGCGAGTCATGACTTGCTATTCCTACTAGGTGCTGCAAAATTAGCATGCATAATTAGGTGATTGTTTAATACAATATTTTTTCTGTTCCTAAGTATAAAGATGCACCATGAGGCAAGTGACTCCAGTGCTAAAGACCTGAAAATTGCGACCCCATTACGATATTCTCAACGTCTACGGGAGAAGATGTGCAAGCTGTCAGACAAGGATCATGATCTCTGTGTGCCTTCACTTGAACAGCTGGGGGAACTGGGGTCAAAACCCACTGCATGTGTCCCTAAGCAGAACACTGCAGTGAAAGAAACAAGTGCTGAGGTTGAAGAGTAAAATAGTAATAACTGGGGGGGAAGAGGTGTTGGATCCTTTTTAAAGAGGTTTGTTTTTAGCGAATTTGAGATGCTATCCAAAACTTGTAAGGATGACTTTAAGATCAAATTTAACTGCTTTTTGTCACCAAACTTTTAAACGTTTAAAACTCCTGTGGTAAAGTGGGGCTCCTATGGTACTGAAACATCAGTGTCTTCATATTAAATGATTCATCCTAATTAGTCAATTAAGGCTAAGTTTAATATACTACATGTAGTAGTTTTGCAGTTGTAGTGTATTGCTAGCAGCACCTTAAGTGTTCCACTTGGGGAATATCTACTCTAGCCCCTTTTAGCTTTAAAAAATTGAAAGCAGCTAGTAAGGTGTGGAACCTAGTCCAAACAATATCCATAGTATCCATTTTTTGGGGGTTATTTCAATAAACTGACTTTAATCCCTCTAGTTACTGGGATTATTAACTGATTTATTTTAGATAAGCTCTCATACACTAATGACTATGTTACTATTCCAATACTGTGTTTTGTGTTAGTCTGTAACATGGTAGACGTGATTAAACTGAACTCATCTGTATTTGTTGTTTATTTATGGGTTTAGGCTGGAAATGTTAATTGGAAAGCGGCTACAGGCCCCAGGGCCTGGAAAGCTGGGAATAAAGGTAATTGCTTGATGGCAGTGAGCAGGCAGAGGCAGAATGCCATGAAATTTCTGTACATCCAAGGACCAAGCTGGGTCTGTTTATTATGGTGGCTGGAGCGTGGCTCCTCTGTGCATTAATAAAGCTGAACGGTTGCTCGTTTTTGGTCTCCCGTGTGCGGGGCAGCGCCGTTACGGGGGCGGGGGGTGGCAGCGCCGCCATCCCTGAGGCCCTCCGGGAGCCAAGGGCACCACCCTGCCGCTGCCGCCGCCATCTTGTCGCTGGTCCCGCCTCGCCCCGCCCCGCGCGGGCAGGCCCCGATCCGCACTGGAGCGGCCGCGAGCCCGAGCCCCGCAGCGCCCGCCGTAACCGCCGTCCCCGCCGCCCTCGTCCCGCCGCCGCGGGCCTCGTGCAGCCCCGGGCACGGCCCGCGGAGCCGGAGCGCGGGGCCTGTCCTGCGGGAGGCGGCGGCCGCCGCGCCGCGCTGCCCTCTGCCTCCCCCCTCCCTTGGGGGGGAGTAATGGAAACGCCAAAGAAATCCGCAAAATAGCGGCATGGATTAAGCACTGTGGCTTTATCTTCCCCCTTTGTTTGTTTCTTTGTTTTTCAGGTGCCCTTAAATCAAGCAAGGTGCTACAGCTACATGTCCTATGGTGTGAGTAAAATGATTAGCGTTTAACTGCCAGGCCCCCAGGTGCCCCCGCTAAACGTAGTTCATCCGTGTGTTTTAAGTGCTACATATACACGCATATACATCTGAACTACAATTGGAACTGTTGGTGGCTTAAATTAGAAGTGCCTCCTTTTTAAAGGGAACGCAAAGGGAAGTCTGGAAAACTAAAAAAAAAGGTCCTTTTACATGAGCGTCAATGATGTTTCCCCATCGAACAGAATCCGGTTTTGTTTTGCTCACAGTTTTGCAGGAGAAATGCCTCAAACAGCTTGAAACTTACTGCTGTGTATCATTTTGCTTATGACTGTTTTGAATTCTTAAACCATGTGCAGAAATGCAGGCTATTTAAAATAAAAAGAGAGCTGGTGTGCTGCAGGACTGTTATTCGTGTTTTCAAAGAGCTTTGAGCATCCTAGATAAAAGATAATCAACATACACTGTGTTAAATTGGTCTTTCTGAAGGTTTTATGTGCGGTAAAGTCAGCGATCAAAATTTGTATTTATGGCAAAACTGAACAATTGTGGGTATCTGTATACTGTATTTGTCAACCATTCTCAGTATTTTGCATGCATTTCCTCACGCAGATAACATAGACATGGCTAACATGGGTTTAAAAACTGAATCACTGTCATGAGGAAGTTCAGAAGTTTATCCTGTGAAAGAGAATATTTGCAGAGAAGTGTTGTATCTTGGCTTACAAAGAATGGAGCAGTACAAAGTGTTGAAAGTGCTGGGAGAGGGATCCTTTGGGAGAGCTCTCCTGGTTCATCATGAAAGCAGCAATCAGAAGTACGCAATGAAGGAAATAGGACTTCCAGTGGTAAGTGTTACATTTGCATTTCACACCCCACGTGCTTTAAAAAAACATAATTTTGGGTGTATTTCCAAAATGCAGCATGCCTGTGCTGAGAGTTATGAACGTTCAACATTTACAGGATACAGCTACAGGGTTAAAGTCTGATCTGTTTCATGAAGTTTGTAGGTACGTTTTAGGAAGTGTGGCATATAGGAGAAGGATGAGATCCTTGTTGCTCCACGTCATTGATTGAATTCCCATTGGCTTCACCAGAACAAAGATTTTATCAGCAGTGTTAATGAGGAAATACCTGATTTTCAGCAGCAGTAAAGTGAAGCTATCCAGTTACCTGCTCAGTATTTAGCTAACAAAAAGGTACTAAATGTGAGGCTCTGTCCATACTGGTGTTAACATCTGTGCATTTGGCTTTATACTCAGTTTATGCCATGTAAACTGCTAAGTGTGCTAAAGTCACCTAATGTGTAAGTGCCAAAACAGGATGTTTAAATACCACAGCAGTTCAGAGTGTGCAGCTTTGTGGAACAGATTTGCATGGTTAAAATGGAAGAGCATTAACTGACACAATTAAATGTTCTCCCAGTTATAAAAGTAAAGCAAGAAGTTTTAAACTAGTAATAAACCGCATATGAAAAAAGATGGAGTTTTCATGCTTTGAATTAAAATGATTTCTTAAAATGACTAAGGAAAATAAGATGGAGTCCAGTTATTAAAAACACTTTTCTTTTGGAAATGAGGTGTGTAATGGGTATATGTGAAGACGTTAGTGCAACATTTATATATATGACCTTACATTTTCAGTCGTCATCCAATGTAGAAAACTCCAGGAAGGAAGCTGTTCTGTTGGCTAAAATGAAACATCCAAATATTGTAGCTTTTAAGGAATCATTTGAAGGTAAGTATAAGCACATACATATGTTGGCTGGACAAAGTTTAGAGTTTAACTTGCATGCTGCTGAGGGATTGGGATTAAATATTTTACTTATAATGTACATGGCATGTAGTTGGAGATCATAAAAATGGTAATATACTTGTCAATGAAATGACTTCTTAAATTACTTACAATTTAGCTGATGGACACCTTTATATAGTGATGGAATATTGTGATGATGGAGATCTAATGCAAAAGATTAAGCATCAAAGAGGAAAGCTGTTCTCTGAAGATACGGTAAGAAAAGACATAATTCTGAACTAAAAGTCCCTTTTCATGTAAACTGAAACACCTCTTATCATGTAAAACAAATTGTGGATATACAAAGGCCTTAAGGTGAATATTTTAAATGAAAACAGTGGTTAGAATATAAGAACATGGGTTTTTTTTTTTGCAGAACAAAGACAAGGTAAGAACAAAAATGAGAAAGGAATAAACAAGAAAGTGCTTGCTGCATCTAGGAGATACACAGACAATATGAAAAACATGGTCGAGTTTTCATGCACAAGTGCTTGCAATTAAGGGAAGAACTTAACCCTAAACTCTGTCAGATTTAACCCTAAGCTCTTTTCAGTACCAGTACAAGGTAGTGCAAATGAATAGTAAATAAAGCACTTTAAGATAAGGAAAAGTAGCCAGGGACTAAATGTGTGTGTTTTACATAGTAATTAAATGTTCAAAAGATCCAGCGTGCATAAACTTGTATCATAGAAACTATAAAATGGCTTCATGAAAAGGTCTAAAGTTACACTGCAGTGATTGAAAACATCTTCCTGCTACCTCTAGAAACATCATTTTAGTTAATCTGGTAATCTAATCCGGTAGTTAGACTAGCCAAGCATCTGAGAACTGTATTTTGTATATTTAAAGAGAAAACTTTTCCTTCTGGAAACCAGAAACTCAATGGTAATTTAAAAAAATCTGTTAAATAACTATGAAATCATAATTGTCGTGCTTATAAAATGGCCATCAGATAAAGCGTCCTCTAGTGGCTCTTTAATTTCATTCTTTGTTGTTAACTTGTTAAAATAGAAGCAGCAGACTTTGTTCCCATAGTGCTAAAATATATCTTAGCTTGAAGAGTTAAATCTTTCATGCTGCCTGGAGGTTGTTTTGCCTGAATTATTTAAAACTACCATATATTGTGAACATCTTTTTTTTCTTTCTCAGTTTTTGTTTGTTTATTCCATTGATGAAATATTTATTACATATTGAGCTGCTATAACCTGTGGTTACTTCTTTCAGATCCTGCACTGGTTTGTACAGATGTGCCTGGGTGTGAAGCATATTCATGATAAACGTGTGTTGCACAGGGATATCAAGTCCAAGGTGACTGAACAAGTTAAAATTTTATTGCCTTTTGTAAACCCTCTTCTGCCTGCAGTTGTTTGTCCCATTTCATAATATCCTGCTACTTCTGCTTACTGTATTTTTCATTTGAGTTTAATACCAGACAGCTGAAAAGGATGAGTGTATGGGATGAGCTAGCATTTTGGGCTGGAAAATCTAATTGTAGATGACCTTCTCATATCTGCATGTGATTCCTGTACCGCTGATGGCACCAGTTGTTTAAAAGGGTGAAAGAAGCATAAAGAAAATAGTTGCCAAGGAGTCTGCAGTTTGTAGATATCTTGCTTCTCATTTTCTTACTGTAAAAGTGCAGAAGAAAGTGGGGCCGTGGTGCTTTGAGTGTAGCATTGAGATCAAGGCATTTCTGAGCTCTGGTTCTTCTGCTACTTACGGTTGAACTCTAGACTAGTCACATAACCTTTATGTTCCCTCTAAGCAAAACAGTAATTTTTAACTTCTTTTGTAAAAGTAATATAAGAAGCAAGTGAAAAAATATTATAAAGGTAAAATACCAGACTGTTGTCTTGTTTTCTATATATACTAACAGCAGAAACTATTTGTAGATTTTTTTTAAGTTTATGAATCTTTATCTTTTTTTTGAACTGCAGAATGTCTTCCTCACTCAAAGTGGAAAAGTAAAATTGGGAGATTTTGGGTCAGCCCGTCTTCTTGCACAGTATGTGATATCTCCACTGATCTCAGTGGTGTAAAATACGTTTCTGCCATTGATGAATAGTACAGATATCTTAAAACATTGTTTTTCATGTGTTTTTTTTTTTTTCTGTTACTTTGATAGCCCAGTATCATATGCTTGCACGTATGTGGGGACTCCTTACTACGTGCCCCCGGAAGTGTGGGAAAGCTTGCCCTACAACAACAAGAGGTACTGGTGCTTCGGTGGTGCCTGGCTGGTGTGTGGCTCTGCTGTTCTCCAAATCTGCCTTGGTGGCTGCTGTGTGGTTGCTCTGGAGAAGGTCTTGGCTGCAAGAGTGTTTGGAAATGGGTCATGTCAGGTTTTCATGTGCAAAGACCTAAATCTCTCTTTGCTTGAGTAAATGAAGATGCAGCATCTGTAGTCTCACAAATTCAAATCACTGCTTCCTGTGATTTCAGTCACTGTGAACTTCTGGGAGTAAATATACGTGAGGTATAGATGTAGATAATATAGATACATGTATATGTATATGAGTGTTCTTTATCTGCTCTTATTTTTTAAGCTATTCCTGCATTTCCTTGTTATAGAATGGCTACAGAATTGATAACTCTCTTAAGTTTTGGTCTATATACAAGAACTCATAATAGCATCACGATAATATGGTTTTTACAGGTCTTTTCCCAGATGCCAAAATGCTAAACCATTTTATATCTCCTCTCACAAATGTGTTCCTTGACCCTAGTTGTACCTGAGTCTGATTTATAAAGCAACTTATTTTCCCCATGAGGGAACATAACAAAGGTAACAAGATCCGTTTCACTGGAGAAACTAAACACAGAATTGTTTTGTCTTTTATGATGATTTACATTTATTTTAGTTTATTTAACTCAGTTAGCTTAGCACATGGATGGTGAATTTAACTTTTGCTTGGCAGCATATTAAAATGTAATCTTTGGCTCAAATTTCTCATCTTTCTCTGTACTTGCAGTGATATATGGTCTCTGGGATGCATTTTATATGAGCTGTGCACTCTCAGACATCCAGTAAGTATGACTTATTGTTATCAGAGAAGTTTTGGACTTCCTTAAAAATTAATTAGCAGTTGGCTATATTTTGGTCGATTCACAGTTGTATATTTGGCAGATATATTTGCTGCTGCTGTTGAAAGCAGGAAGAATTGCTCCATTTTTCCATTTTTCTTACAGTCAATGTATCAAGGATCAGAGTCTCCTTCTGTTTTTAACAGCAGCAAAATGTCACGTACCCAGGTTTTATGCTCCTTTTATATGATTGTCCCATTTGTTCTTGACCTACCTGTCCAAGCGAAGCAAAAGGATCCTGTGCCCTGCTGGGGCACAGTGGAATGCACAGCAAGGATGGAGTTCCACACACACCTCTGTGCAGATGGAAGTTCGGCTGTTTTAGCCCAGGTTGTTGCCACCCACAGTTTCAGCTGTCCCAGCTTCATTTTGAAGTCATTAGATCATGTGCCTAAAAACTAATTTCCAACTGCAGACTCATAACAATTAGCTGGGAAAAATAACAACTTAAACCATTCTCCCTGCTTGAGCAAGGGGGTTGGACTAGGTGATCCCTAGAGGTCCTTTCCAACCTTAACCATTCTGTGATTCTGTGATTACACCCAAATGAAAGCTACTATTCAGTTAATACCAGCTTCTTTTCATCTCACACTAAAATGCCATGTTCTATATGTTCATTTATTTTTACTGCAGTTTCAAGCCAATAGCTGGAAACATCTCATCCTTAAGATATGCAAAGGATCCTACAACCCACTGCCCTCTCACTATTCCTATGAGCTTCATTACTTAATAAAGCAGATGTTTAAGAGAAATCCCAAGAACCGTCCATCAGCCACTACCATTCTTGAAAGAAGCTGCTTGACCAAGCTTGTCAAAAATTGTCTGCCTTCTGAGGTGCAGTAAATTCTTTAAGCAATAGTTTGTACATCTTAAATACTAATTCTGTTTCCTTTGGATCAAGTTATCTGTTTAGAACAATATAAAATGTTGTGCTGTGCAGATCCTACTTGAACAGCCATAAATATATTTGCAAACTTTGCAGGAAAGTGAGTTTTCAGAAGGATGTTTTAAAAAGAAAAGTGTAGTATTGATGTGGTTCAGTTAAGATTAGGAGATAATCTTAGCTGTAAAAGTATTTTGATGTATGAAGACTGTTTTTAAGAAATAGCATACACAGTAATGTGGGAGAGATTAAAACAATGCAGTACTAGCATCTCTTTGTACTCATTACAGATGGCATCTGTATTTGAACAAGCATTAAAGGAAAACAGGAAACATGAAGGCAGTGCAGCAAGACCGAAAGGTAATTTCAAAAGCCCCCTCCTATTTTTAATTTTTGTTACAGCAGTAAGGAATAACCAAATGATTGAGAACTGTAAGATCTTAAATACAGCTACAGAACATCATTTTAACATGTTCAAATAGACTTTTAATTAACTCACAATCTAATCTCATTGAATTTCTGTGGAAAATGCTTGAAGTGTGTGTAAACTATTCAATTCTAGGAAAAAAAAGGAAAACTTTTAGTTGTTGGGTGTGTTTTAAATATGGAAGTGATTTATTTCTCAGAATCCGATAAAGCAAATTGTTTTCGTTAGTATTCAGTTTTGAAAGAGGATGTAGGACTTTTTCCTGTCCCAGACTTAACTACACCACAATCTGTAGCACAAGCAGGTCCAATTTTACTGTAGAAGAGCTCAGAAGAACTGAAGAGTAGAAAGAGAATGAGATAGATGGACAGAAGACTGAAGAAGCTTCACGTAATTTTCTGTCATTGCCTGGTTGAGTGGCATCATTGTCATGCCCCTGGAAGAGCACCTTACCACACATTTGCCAAAAATGTGAATTTAACTATTGATTCTGTCCCTTAACATATCAGGTAACACTGCTGCTGGTGAAAGCTCAAACATCAGGAAAATAAATAAGGTAAGTATTTGAATATAAATACAGTTGTGATATTTTTAGGAAATTAGAAAGTTCTCTATTAGAGAAATTTCATTTTGACAACTGTTTTTATTTGTTAAGGCATAGATAAGTCCATTAGGTCTGGTGTCATCTGTGTTTCAGTGCTTTCCTGTGCACTTTCAAATTCACAGATTTGTAACGTATTGATGTCTTGCAGGCTGATGTTTTCCACGTTTATTTCAGTTGCAAAGTGGATTTCATTATAGCCCTGACAAAAAAAAAACAAAAAAAAAACAAACAAACAAAAAAAAAACAAACAAACAAACAAAAAAAAACGTCCTTTGCTTCTAAGTTTCAAGATGTTGCCTAAAATTAGGCCTTTCCTTTGCTTTAGGGACACACTTTGAACAGGCTCCTGTAGAATGAGTCCAATCTGGTTATAATTCTCACTTGAATTAGTGCCCATGTGAGATTTCAGGTGAGGAGAATTAAGTCACAGGTGACCAAGAAATCACTTCTGAGTCAATCATAGCACGACCTGTCTCGGCCATATTGACTGTATTTTTCAAAACAAGTTGCCAGTAGGGCTTATTTTCTTTCTGTTTTAGTAGATCTGTCAATCCAAAAAGCTCAATATTTGGGTGCATCTTGTTTTCTCTGGGAATATGATTTATTTATATTTCTGTTGTTTTTGAGTATGAAATATAAACCCACAAATTGCATGACTGGAGCATCTACTGCATGAGGAAGGACTAAGTGAGCTGGACCTGTTTAGCGTGGAAAAGAGAAAGTTGAGAGGGGATGATGCCCTGTATACATATAAGTACCTGAGGGGAGAATGTAGGGAGGAAGGATCACGCTCTTCTCAGTGGTGGCCAGTGACAGGACAAGGGGCCATGGGTATAAGTTGAAACATGGAAGTTCCATCTCTATGTGAGGAAAAACTTCTTGGCTGTGAGGGTGCCAGAGCCCTGGAACAGGCTGCCCAGGGAGGCTGTGGAGTCTCCTTCTCTGGAGATCTCCCAAACCCGCCTGGCTGCCGCCCTGTGCCCCGTGCTCTGGGTGTCCCTGCTGGAGCAGGGGGTTGGACTGGATGATCTCTAGAGGTCCCTTCCAACCTCAACCATCCTGTGATTCATGCTTAGATGCAGTGCAATTGCCTTCATGATGGCAGGGTGTCAGTAGTTTAGTTTTCAGATTGTTTCAACCATTGTATAGCAAAACTAAAATAAGCCATGTGAATATTAAATACTGGTTTTTGGACAGCAAAGTGAACGAGTAATATGTCTTTGATTCTTTTAAAGCAAAGAAAAGAACCCAGTAGCAAATGTAGCCCCTTGCAACAGGAAAATATTACCAAGGATTTGAGTGAAAACCCACATAAGCAAGGGAAATCTGGTGAGGAGGGTAAGTTTTGCATGGTTTCAAGACTTACAAATTTACCTTCGTGTAGTAATATTGTTCTTACCACATTATGTTACCATAAACAGGTAGAACATACAAGTCTGCGTCAGTAGAAGAACATGACACTGTGTGTCTGTAATTACAGATTTAATTTCATCCCAAATTAATTAAAAAAAGAAGTCCAAAGTATGAAAAATGATTTTTTTTAAAAAATATTTGGTATAGAATTAATGTATGATTCCATTTTACATTTTTTTTTAAATCAAATTCAGGCTTGACCTGATAGAACTAAATATCACTGTTAATATAAATACTCTATGTCTAGTACTGCTTTGCAAGGAAAGGGAAATGAGTTAGATGCTGGTTATTATCTTCTTTTTGTTGCCAATAAGCAGAAACTTCTGAAGATCCCCCAGGTATTATGGATTTGTCACATCCTCACAGGAGGCAGTGGGAGAAAAAGATATCCAATACCATAGTGGATGTCCTGGAAAACGCATCCTTGCTTTCATCCAGTTTTACGTCCGAGGAGAGTAAAGGTAAGTTCAAATTAAATGTCTTTTCACACATTTTTAATTCAAGTAATATGGATACTGCTTTAAAGTTTTTAAAAGCAAGATTTTTAGGATATTAACAAAAAAACGTAAAAATGGTTTCAAAAATTTCTATTGGTAGACACTCAAGAAGTCCACAGTGCTGATGAGGAATGATGCAAGAACTCTAGGAAGCTGTTAAAGTCTCAGATGTGTGACGGGAGAATTGCAAGGAGTCATAAAAGCTGCATAGTTCGCAGTAGCAACCCTAAAATTCACCAATTACGCTGCCACCTGCCCTTAACATGCTGTTCATTGGGGTGGCACATTGGATATGGTACAAGGTTCATGTGATGCAGAAAGGAGCTGTCTGTCTTCCAAGTACACCGTGCTGTTGGGAGCCTGTAGTGTTTGTAGCTCTACTTCTGCTGTTAGTTAACACATAGATAATGCCCAGATCACGGAGACAGAAACTGTTAGTGACACAGCTCACATGTGGGACACTCTCCCTTCTTCTCTGTCAACTGCTTTTACCAGGAGGGTTTAATGTGGAGTTTATTTTGAAAAATGGGCTAAGTTTCAATATGCGGTTGTTATAAGTATGTCTTGTTATTATTGGTATATAAATTCCTTGTAAGTGTAAATACATATTGTTGAAATAATCGTTATAAGAATACAAAAATATTCCCAAGTTGTGGTAGAATATTGCATGACATACTACATATGACAGTGTGAAAGATGGAAAAAAATGCATATATGCATTAGTTCTCCTACTAACAGGAATAGAAATGTCACATCCATGGGCTCCATTTTGCGAGGCCCTTGGAGGAGGCACTGGTTAAGCAGATGAATGCTCTGAGTCCTCACATTAGGTGTTTTGTTTTCTGCTTGTTTTCTGCTGGCTCCTTGCTGCCTCCTGCCTTCTTTTTTCCTTACAACTTTGATATTGTCAACCTCAGTACGTTGAGAGAGGGCAGCAGTGCTACAGAAACATCTAGTGTTTTTCCTCCTGCATTTTTCTCTTAAATGTCTTCTTTGCAATCCATGCAGTTAACATCATTTTCTAAATGTTTATTAATGATTTTATACCTAGGTGGCTGGGTTACAAACTACAGTGAAAATAAGCCACGTAAGCAGTGGAACAAGGAAACTCCTCAGACCCTAATGAACATTCTCAGTAATGCAGATGTCAGCTTAGCATTTAAAACATACACGATTTATAAACCAGGTAAATCTCCAGTTTTCAGGCAAACTTTGCAAACAAGTTTATTCATAATGATTTTTTCTTTTTTTACTTAGTCCCTATGTATAGAGAGATTATGCACTTGCTTTCATGTCAGAATGGACTGATTTTAATGCTTACCAAATGAAGTGTGAACTTAATAAAAAGCAATCTGAGAGCTTGTGGGTAATTGTACATCTTCATGACATCTCGTCAAGAAGTAGTCGCTTACAACTCAGTACCTAAATGAGGCTGTGCCATAAACTCAGAGACTGCAGAGCCACGTGGTCTCTACCCAGCCAAAGGGTCATGGTGCCTTTGAGTAGGCAGAGTGGTACAAAAGTGTGGTACAAAAGATAATTTCTGTCAGAACTGCTTCATTTAGCTCAAACTGTACACTATAAATATGTCTGGTCACACTCACACATAGTAGTCTGCACTTCAGTTACTCTATTAGCTTATGTCCTCACTTGAGCAACAACTTGGACTAGAACCTCAGAAAAAAATGTAGAATGCCTTAAGAAGACTATATTGTATGTATATTTTTAATCTATTTTTTGTTATTTTTTTTAATGCTTTCAAAGCTTCTGGAAATATACTAAAGGGGCCACTTTCAGATGAAACTGAAGTATCTGATGAATTGGATGGTGAACTTGAAGCTACTATCACTGATTTGGAGAGACTTGAGCCTGAAAGTGATGAAGATGACACGTATGTCCAAATAGCATCCTTATATTTTTGTTTTCTTTGATTCCTTTGAAGAAATTTTAAAAAAAATCCCCTGGAAAAAAAAAGTTTTTTTTTCTCGTCTTCTAAATTCATCCTTCTTTTGTCTGATATTAAAACTGATGATTAATTTGTGTTAAAATTTAACAGCACTTACCTTCTTTGGTGTATTTATGGTTGTTAATGATGTCAAGATGAAACAGATAAGTAAGCATACTGGTTTTGCCGGAGATTTTGCAGAAATGAAGACAGGAGATGAGATCCACGGCGTTGTGCAAGCTGCTTTTTTGCATGAAACATCATTGTACCCTAATTTTGAAATCGGCTACCAACAGTGAAACCATTCACTAGTGGCGTGCTTGCTTTATTTGTGTGTTGCACTCCATATCTTTCATACTTAGTGCAATAAAATGTCTTTTGTAACAACTTAAGAGATACATTTGTAGAAACTTTTAAACGTCTCCCTTATTTTTTTTGTGTTAGAGTTTTTTTTTTGGAAAAGGAAGATGTACTATGACAAATTCTGAACATAAATATTTTATTTATAGATGTGTGCACGCTTTGCCTGCACACATTGGTGACTGAAATCTCAGTTTACATTCTTCTTTTTCCTTGTTATTATTCCTGAGAAGAAAGTTTTAGGCAGGTATTACACCAGCTCAATTGCAAGCCGTTATTATTAACACATACATGAAATCATAAGATATACATTTGTTTTTTGATAAAACTTAGTTTGGGTAAATTGAACCCTTTTTCGTTCAACTCAGAATGGTGCAGGGAATAAATCTCAAAGATGATGTTTTAACATAATTTCATATAATATTCGTATTAACATATAATTAACATAATTTATAGGGTAATTTGGGGAAAAATACAGATTTACAAAGTTGCATGATTTTGCTTTGCAAAATAACATTTTGAACTCTCTCTCTTTAGGGACTTTGATGAGGAAGATGACCCAGATTGGGTGTCGGAACTGAAAATGATGCTGAAACACAGTAACTTGAAAGCTTGAATCTCTGCAATAATTGAAGAAGTTTTATACTTTCTGACATTTACAATGCAAACCAGGATTTGTTGTAGTTATTAATAAAGGGATCTCAGTCAATTAATTCTGAGTGAGCATGTTATGTGCATCACATACCAGACGAGGGAAAATGCATAATGAAATTTCCAGCTAAAATGCTTGCCAATAAACAAACGTAGATTATAAATGCATGTGTAGTTGGTAATAGCTTTGTAGAAATGCTTAGCCAAAAGCATTCATGTTAACAGCTTGTTGACTACACACTGAAATGGCATAAACTAGGAATAACTGATGTTGTCTGAAGGGTGTATAACTGAAAATATTTCCCTATGCTAATTATTTCAGGATTAGTGCCTGCCGTTATTAATCCTTTGAAAACACCTGAGGCTGTGCTTATGCCCTAATTATTTCCATGGCAACATCCTTCTGGATGTCATCACATGTGTGGAAGAAAGCTTATTTCTTCATAAATACAGATTAATTTTCTCCTGCTACAGTGAAAAATTTCTTTAAGAGCTGTGAGATTTTTGATGCCACAGAAGGCACGAGGCGCAGTGCCGGATTTGGGGGCTGTGCTGGCTGCTGTATTTGCTGTATCGCTGTTTCAATAGTGAATTTTGCTGTATTGCTGTTTCAATAGTGAATTTTGTGAGAGCAACAGCAAGGGCAGGTGCAGAAGTGCCCTCCACCATATTCCTGGGAAGCCCTTTTGAGTGTCTCACTGTGATGTAAATATATAAAATAACACTGGAAAATTAACAAATATGGAAATCTTGAGGAGGTCTGTAGATTGGACATGGAACTATTCCATACCACGTCTCCTGTGCTGGCAATTGAAGCAGGGATGAGGACCCAGGATGAGGTTCTTGGCTGTCTCTTTGACCTTTCTACTGCTCTTACTGTTCCCTCCACGTTGAAGGTTTGTAACGCCCGCAGGGCGGTTTGCGAGGGGAGAAGCGCCCGTGCCGGGGCCGCGGGCTCCCCGCGGGCGCCGCTCGCCGTCCCTTGGCAGCCCCACGCAGTTGCCAGGTGTCGCCCGCGGCCGCCATTTCGCGACGGCTCTTGGCAGCCCCACCGTGGCACCTCCACGTCGGGGAGGCGCCGGGGCTGCCCGTCGCCCTCCTCCTGCTGCCCGTGGCGACTCCGGACGCGGCTGGGCGCACGCAGGTACCGCTCCCCGCGGTGCCGAGCCGAGCCGAACCGGGCTGGTTCAGAACCGGTCCGGTCCAGGGCAGGGGAGGCTGCCGCAACTGCTGCCCGCCGCCACAGCGAGCGCGGGAAGGGCGGCCCGGCTCCCTCGTCTGCTTCTTCCCTCCATCGTGAGGGAAATGCTCCCTCGTTTTATTTTCCCTCCAAGAGACTGTGTCTGCAGTATTGCTAACTTAAATATTTTTGTATTTTCATATTTTCATAATCTTATCCTGTTTAAAATTAAATTTAATTTTTATTTGCAGATATTCAGGAGACAGCACCGTGAGCCAAACCCTACGGAGCATAAGGCTTATGACAAAAATTACAGTCTGCAGAGCTACCTCTTGAGAGGTGGCCTGAGTACCTACGGTACAAACTCCGAGTATTAGCAATAATTACTTGTGCAATACTAATTTTGAGTTTTTTTTTTTTTTTTTAATTTTAGACACTGCTTTAAGATAAAGACATCATGGATGATTATGAAATCATAAAAGAAATTGGGGAAGGATCTTTTGGCAAAGTATTCTTGGCAAAAGAAAAAGTAAATAATGAGCAGTGCGTTATAAAAGAGATCAGTCTAACTAAGGTAAAACAACAAAACTTATGTGATAACAATGGTTATTATTTACCTGATTGTGATATTATATTTAACAAGGGTATAAACCTGGGTTATGTTTTATCTTTGCAGCTGCATGTTAAACTTTTCAAAGACTGTAGTTTCCCATTGCTAAATAAGTGATTTTACAAGCATAAAATAAATATGCATTTTGGAAATAGAATTCTGTTTATTTTTCCATTACATTTTACTTCTTTTCAAAACTTCCCTCTGCACACAGAGTATGACATTAGCCTAATTTAAATGTTATAATAGATTATGCAATTACAATGAGACTGTTGTCGCTGAAACTACTGAACAAACCCTATTGTTTTTTTTTTTTTTTTTTGATACATTTTTCTCAACTTCTTCATTTCTTTCTCTCATAGCTGTATTTCCTGATGTGAATAATTCACAATGGGGCCTTTCAGACTCTCATTGTGGTTTATGGTAGTTTGACGTTAAGGGTGGGACTCATCTCATCTAATTTTAAATACCCATTCTGTAGATGTCAGCAGTGGAGCTACTTGACTAGACTGCCATTCTACGAGAACAAGAGAAATAGGCATTTTTAGGATCTTCTTTATCTTGCCGATTTTAGACTTCTGCTTTAGAATGAGATGACTTGTTCCATAGAAGTGACGTGTTTCTTTCTGCTGACAATAAAGGTAGACTAGGGTGACTAGCACAGGCAGGAGATAATCCCAGCCTATATCTAATTCCATAAAGACAAGCAATTAAACTTGCCGCAATTTCGATAGAAATTGAGTGCTTCAATACTTTTGACAGGTCTTTTGACAATCTAAGCCACAGCATTGAATTTCTAGATGCATTACACAATGCAATAGAAGAGTGAATCTTTATACCTCAATTCTAGACGTGGTTATATAACTCCTAGATTCAAACCCAGAAAATTGATATGCTAATAATGACTCGAAATAAATTAGAGTAGTTTCTCTCCATGCTTATGACCACTACAAAGCACATATTTCTAATTTTGGTTTGAATTACATGACATAAGATGTTAGCAAGTAAAATATTATTGGCAATCCCATTCATTCTAAAATCATGAATCAGATTCAGAAAATTACAACTTCAAATTCATTTTTTCGTTTAAAGTCATTTTTCCTATGGTTGGGTTGTTTCTTTAATTCACCTTCTGATTTTTGAGTCTGTAAGGATTATGTTTCAAAGTTGTTTCTTAAGAATGAGGGTAGGAAATTTACTTTTTATTTTTATAAGTAAAAGGACATTTTAATGGAAGTTGCTTTCTCTGAAATACAAGCTAGCAATAAATAATAATAATCAAAGCCTGATCACAGTGAAGTAAATAGAAGTTTTCCATTTACAAGGAAACAAAGTAACAAGGTAAGGTAGCAGGCTTGCAAGATAACAGGGCAAAAAAATCCACTCTGAAATAGTACAAGAAGAGGTAACAGAAGTAAACAGAAAGACTTTTTCTGTACTATAGCATCTTTTTTTTTCTGTAAATAATTAAGGGAACATCCCCAATTTATTCTATTTCTTGACTAACTTAATAAGAGCCATAGCATTTGTTTAAAAAAATTGAGGATACACATTTGCCTGTTTGTAAAATGCCATAATTTGGTTTGATTTCAATAAAATTCCAAAATACTTTCAAATGTGTACTCCAAATGGATATTTTAAGTGATGTATGTACCATATTTTTATATGCATCATATTTCCGTAATGCACTTTGGTGCAAAATCTTTCTTTGTGTGAATGGATGGCCCATAACCCATGTTAGTCTTTATGAAAATGATTTAATATATCATTGCTAGCATGTAGCTTCTTACTTCTTTGTAGATGCCTGTGAAAGAAAAAGAAGCCTCTCAGAAAGAAGTCATTCTTCTGGCCAAGATGAAGCATGCGAATATAGTAACCTTCTATGCTTCTTTGCAAGGTTTAAATACAACCAAACGTTATCAGATCACATTGCCCAACCCTGAGCCTGCCCCCAGCCCCTGACTTAACACTGGGGACAGTCAGACCCCAATTGCAAAAAACAAACACAAAGCATCAGGTTCTGTCCTCACTTGCCCTCTTCCCTTGTGCAGATGGGATCTAAGGTAGAATAAATGGTAGATCCTTGGGAGTTTAGATGGCTTAAGTTGAACTCAAGTCCTCAACTAATCCAAATCAGAGTCTGGATTTTGTGAGACTTTGACAGGACACTCAACTGAAGATGGGAATCTTTGAGCATGGCAGGAAATTGGTCCTGGTGACCAGCATGGTCTGGAGCCCAATTTCTGAATTTGGAAAGAGGGCTAGAATCATTGTGGTCAGGTTTTTTTCTGTGATCAGGATTGAACATTTTAATGATCATTTTAATGATCAGAACATTTTAATGAACAGGTAAATATAGTAGCCTTGTGGACCCAGAGAGGTGCAGAGGAGTTTCCATAATAAGAAACCCTTGCTGTTTACTTCTAGTATTAGACTGCCTACTTTTAGCTTTTTCCATAACGCTCAACTATCCCAACTATGAAGCCTTTTCCAAAACATTAGCTTTGTAACTGTGCATCCACCTTCTAAAATGGGTGCATTGCATATATGTAACATTTTGGAGAATCTCCATCTAAAGAGGTTTACATGTGTTTCTTATCTTTGCTCAAGCCAGTTTTCCATCAGGCTTCCCTAGAAGTATCCTTTTTTTATGAGTAACCCCTTTGAAATAGAAGAGTAATTAGAGGATTAAGAACTCCCTTTTAAAACTAATGACTATACAAAATCAAAATAATTTATTGCACTATTAATAGGCAATAAGTAACATAAGAAAATACACACTTCTCTTCCAGAAAAAAACAAGCTGTACATTGTGATGGAATACTGTGACGGTGGAGACTTAAGGAAGCGGATAAATATGCAGCATGGAGTGCTTTTTGATGAGGACCAGGTGAAAGAAATTACTTTTGGGGAAAAGACTTATGACTTGAGTTAGCTACTTTAGGATACTATTTCTTGTCTGAACTATTACCAAAAGATTGAACATTTTAGCAAAACTTTTTTTTTTTTTTTTTTGCTCCTTATAAGGTTTCTGAAGGAAATATTCAGTTATTTACTAAAATATTTTTAGAACCAGTATGACTTCCGTCACTGAGAATTAAGAAGACACTATCCCGTTCTGTCTTTGTTGTTATTCGAATTCTCTCATTTCTAGATATTCTTCTTTGACCTGATGCTACAGTCTTTTTTTTTTTTTTAGATACAAATTCTGTCACAGTCAGTTAAAATTGGAC